CCTTGGGTTGTCATGTCGGGAGAGCTGGGATGTGGGCGATGCCTCAACATGATGTAGGGGTCTTAATACGGCTGATGGACAAATCCTGCATGACCTTATACACCTAAATTATGGGACTTATGCTACTATACTCTATATTTGGGTAATGCAGACTTTTGTCCATCAACAGTAATTAGAATAGCCCTAGGGTTCCAAGTATACAGATAGTACCTACTTTGGGGTCTAAGGTCTGTAAAAAGTACCTACTTTGGGCTTTTTTGAGCCCCAGGGTAGGGTTTTGGGCCTCTTTATAGTATATTTATGAGGGGACCGCAAGAGTAAGATTGGTGATTATTTAGGCTTCCATATTAAGGTGATGTACAAGCTAGGGTGTTTGATCGCCACTACCCAGACCTGTGGGTGGATCTCAAAAGTTGATGGCGATCGTTTATTCGGGACCCCACTACTACTGCTACTTCTACCGCTGCTACTACTACTACTACTACTACTACTACTCCTGCTACTACTACTACTACTACTACTACTACTACTACCACCGCTACTGCTACTACTACTACTATCGCTACTGCTACTGCTACTGCTGCTACTACTACTGCTACTACTACTACTACTACTACCACTACTATCGCTACTGCTACTGCTACTGCTGCTACTACTACTGCTACTACTACTACTACTACTACGACTACTACGACCACTGCCACTTGTCACAACCACGACAAGTGACCACTACCACTGCCACCACTACAACCACTGCTACTGCTGCTGCCGCTGCCACTGCCACTGCCACTGCTACTGCCACTGCTGCTGCTACGACGACTGCCAACCACTACTACTACTACTACTACTACCACTACTACTACTACTACTACCACTACCACTACTACTACTACTACTACTACTACTACTACTACGACTACTACTACCACCACGACTACTACCACCACCACCACCACGACGACTACTACCACTACTACCACTACTACCACTACTACCACTACTACCACTACTACTACTACTACTACTACTACTACTGCTACCACTGCTACTACTACTAACAAAAACCACGACGACTACTCCCACTGCTACTACTACTGCTACTGCGGCTGCAACTGCTACTGATACTGCTACTGCTACTGCTACTACTGCTACTGCTGCCGCTACTGCTACTGCTGCTGCTGCTGCTACTACTACTACTGCTACTGCTACCCAAACCTCCAGCCCCTTTTTGAGGCCACCAGCCAACGCCAAGCCAAGCCTTATAACAGTTGCCCAGCGTTGGGTAAATGCCCTTGCTGCTCCACCGACCTTAAGCCAAGACTTTCAGTGGCAGGCAGAATGGGAGTACGGGGCACGCATAGTGATGTAGGAAAAATACATGAAAAATTCTGGTAGCACCGTGAGTACGAAGAAATGCGATGAAGATATCGAGAAGGGGTAATCTTCACAGTTTTAATTCCCTTGAACCTGGGTTGACAGGAAGCCACACTGCCCGGCAAATAGCTCGATAAAAGCTCGCAAGGTGAGATTATCCAACGCTTGCACCAAGACAAAGTAACGCGCGGTTCAGGAAATGTGTTTTCGGGTTCGCTGTGCCTTCATGATTGAGAGGGTTTTTTGTCGCCCAGGCCAACTTTTTTGACAACAAATTGTTGTTTCTCGGAAGCGTGCCGAAGGCAGTCCGTAGAGGTGGTTTGAATGGCATGATGTGATGATGTTGATGTGAAGGTTGTCTGTAACGTTGAAGATCTGTGAAGTTGTGTCAGAATCTGTGAGGTTCTGTGAAAACGTGTGAAGGCTTGTGCAAACCAAACCCAAACACTCGTGCTGCTGGATGCTCCACGTGGTTTCTGTTCCACTGTCCGTTAGGTTCCCGGCCAGGTTTTGGCAGCTGGCAGCGCGTGCTCATTGTAAATTCCAATCCTTTGGCCTCAAGTTGGTCTCAACATGACGACCTCTCTTGGAACGCGTTGCGTCCGGACGCTGCGCATGTGGTGCCACGTTGACGTCGGCCTGGAATTGTTGGAATCCTCTGAGTGATTGGGGGCGTGATTTTGACTCCGCTAATGCATTGCGGGAAGCTTGAATCACCAGAATGTCGGGGAAAGAACGGATTTCAAGAAGTTTTATGGAATGACTTTGGGAGGGATCCATAGAAGGGCACGGGTTTGTAGAAGGGTTTATGAGTTGTGGATGGTGAATGGATGGATGGATGGATGACATGGTGTTCGGTCTCATTTGGCTGCTCTCACTGCTTTCAGGACTCTCGTTCTCTAGTTTGGTCCTCCACCGCCTCACGTGCGATAGCGGCAGTCCATTCAAGCGAGGCTCTCGACAGCTTTTCGAGACGTGGCTGAGTGCAGCGGCAAACTTGCCTCGTAGAAGGATGCTCGGCTGGATGGACGTGGTACTGTGCTGGAGTTTGCTTCGTTTGCATCTATGAGTGTTTGCGCTGCTTTCGGTGTAGCCATGCTCAGGGCATGTCAGTCACAAGGTAAGGTTGTGGACCACGTGGCCCGGCGAGCAGGGAGTGCTGTCGCAGCTATTGGCTCCTGGAAGTTATCCAGAGGCATCTTCTGGCATTTCATTACCTTTCAAGAGCTCCTCGACTGCGAGATTTCTGCTTAGCCTAGCACTGCAATTCGCGTCAAACCTATGCACTAAACGCGTACTGGGCCAGGCCAGGTCTTGGTGATTTTCTGTTGGTGCTCCTAGCAGCTGCACGTTGTTACCGCATCGCTTATGCATCGACAGACTCTGTGAGGTTCAGCCGTTGCAGTGGTCAACATGACCGCATCCTGGCTTGAGTTCTCTGGATACCCTGGCCCTGTTACTGGCATGACTGGCCGCGTCGAGCGTAGACAGTGCTTGTCTTGAAGTCGGTAAAAACAAACTGATGAGGAGATCAACAGCCCATGGGGGCACTACATACACCATGCTTGGGGAACGGAGGCTGGGAAATCTGCCAGTCCCCGGACACCCCCCCGCTTTAGGAGAATGACTCACTGGAGGTTCCATGTAATTTTGGTATCCGGTGATCAAAGACACCCGTGCAGGCCACAGATCACGTTCTGCGCCGCCGAGCGACCTGCCGAAAGCTTTTTTGGGGGATTTCATAGGTGGAGCGATGCCACACGAGCTCTGGACTTCGCAATTTCTCCCATCCTCGCACAAGGCGATGGTTGACAGCTTGTTGCGTTTGGGAGCTGCGGATCCGCACGTCTTTGGACAGCTCGGGGCCAAGCTATAGAGACCAGAGTTGACTGAAGGTTAAGTGGCTGTAGTACTGCAAACAACTGTTCTGCCTCTGCCGTGGTCAACGGCTTCTAGAAGGCATGGTGTGCAATACATTACAATACACAATGCTCGGCACCTAGGCTTTCCCGTGGCATCCTCCGGCACGTTACCAGGTGGCCACGCCCAGTGCCCCAGAAAGCCGTGAGGTACCGATCTGAAGTTTAGCGGAGTCTAGCGTGCTCTTGGGACAACTCTGCCGCTCCACCACAGAAATTCCCACCCAGCCTGCCCTGCAAGCATCGAGCACATGGTTTTATCGATAAAGGTTCACTCAAACAGAGCCGCACATCTTGGCCGGCAGAGAGAAAATCCACTTCTAGGTTTGCCCATGATGGCTGGGCTCTTCCGAGTGCTCGTGAATGCGACATCCAAGGCCCGAACTGGGGCGAACTCATGGAGTCTCTGATGTCTGCTTCGAAAACAACGCGCAGTGGATGGCCTACCGGCGATGCCGCGATCCCTTGTTCTGCATGCTACACAGATCCACGCCTTTTTGCGGTGTCGTCGCAGGCTTGCAAAGCAAAGCTAAAGCTTTCAGAAAAAGAACACAAGCAAAGTTTTACCCATGGGGCGGTCGCTGGTTCGTTGTAGCCACAAGATCAGTTCACTGCTGCCTTACGGTACCGGCTTTGCCAATGCGTCGAAGAGACTATTATTGCCAGAGCCACTTGTGGCTTTGTGCCGATTTGCATCGTTACCCTTCCCAAAAGCAAATAATTAAGCCGCAATTTACGTACACAATTGCAGCCACATGGCCGCCATGAGCGCAGCCCCGGCAGTCGCAGAGGCTGGCTCTAGTCGAAAAGCTGACAGCTTCAGCCAGCCTGCTACTTGCGCTGCTCTGCATATCTTGCAGGGTTTAGGAGTGATCTCAATTGCCGTTGTATCGCGGACCGGTCGTCTGCAATTGACAGGAAAGGCGGCAGCTTTGCATTCGTCTACTGCGTGCTGTCAGGGACTCAGCGAGATCCAGTGAGCCAGTAGGATCAGAAGGAATCAGGGTTCCGAGGCTTTTGAATCTTCAAGTCGACCTTATGATGGCACGACAGATCTTGAAAAGGGTTCGCATAAAAGGAAGGCACAGTATTGGGCCATGTTCGTTGTTCCTATTGAAGAGAGCAACTCTTGCTCCCTCATTCCGCTTTGGGAGGTCGAGAAGTGCCCTGCGCTCCTTGCCAAAGGCGAACTCTGCCAATGGGGGAATCTTATGCATTGTCTCTGCAGTGCAATGGCAAGCTCGACGGGGAGGGTCCAAGCGACCGTTTGCACCCAGTGTTGCTAAGCAGGCCGAAGAGTTGGAGCTCCAGAAGCCGCGCAGGCAAAGCTCGGGGGGGGAGAGCATGCATCTATGTAAACCGTGGGCGGTCAAGCGGAAAAAGGCACGACCATCTTCCTGTCTTTTTCCATGAGCGGACAAAGTTCCGGTAAAATCAACGAGCACCATGCACCTATTCAAATAGCGGAGAATGTGCAATCGACGTTCATGGGGCCATGCCGAGGCACGGGCCCGCCGCGATGCTGGCCCAAGTGGGAGCATCGATGTAACATGTGTCTATGGTATCATTCTCCACGGGCAGGACGTATCCCTAAGCACGCGCAGTCTGATATCTTGCGATGTCAACAGCCAGCAACTCACAGCTCTATGCCTCAAGCACTCCACCAGCAAGAAGATCCGCTGCTCGCAAGGAGACTCCTTGCATAACATGGCCGAGCGGCGCAAGCGCTTGTTGCTGTCGCTCTTCATTGCAGCCGCATGTTGGGCAGGGCAGACAGGTGACGGTACGGTGTTTGTACTGGCGAGAGGGGAAAGTGGAGCGAGGCCCACGAGCGTCTCGCACTCACGAGTGCAGCTTGCAGGGATTTCATCCGGGGTATCTGTGGAGAACATGGAGAAGCACCCGAGGCTGCCAGTGTGGCCTGCCTGGTTCGGTATCGTGTACATTTTGCTAGACCTTTTGCTTGGCAAACCAAGTGTCGGGGCATGGCTCGAAGATCGATTTGGAGGCCGTGTTTGCCCCATGATCTTTCGCGACACCACAGCATCCGACCCCTTCCTGCTGGTCGCGCACCATCGCCACTCCTTCAATGCCTTCGATCCGTTCCGCTACCTGTTCCGGTTCTTGTTGCCGGAAGGCTTCCCAGCCCACCCACATCGAGGCTTCGAGACAGTCACCTATGTCCTTCGAGGCGGACTTGTGCATCGTGACTCCTTGGGTGTCAAGAAGTCGTATGGTGCACCAAAAGATTCCAGTGGAAGCGGCGCAGATGCCGCAGTACAGTGGATGACCGCTGGAAGTGGAATGCTGCATGAGGAAATGTGGCGAACAGGTGAAGCTTTGGAGAGCTCTGACCAGGAGCTCTTTCAAATCTGGGTCAACCTTCCCAAAGCAGATAAGTACACCAACCCTCGAATGCAGATGCTTGGAAGTTCTGACACCGCCGAGAGCTTTTCCGCTTCAAAGCTAGGAGGAATGCTGACTGAAGTTCACGAGCGTGGACCGGTGCCTACGGTGGAGCCTGCTCCAGGAGTATCGGTATGCATCGTTGCAGGTGAAGCCGATGGTGTCCGCAGCCCCATCGAGACATTCTCGGATATGGCTATCCTTCACGTCACCTTGCAACCCGGAGCAGCTTCTCAGCTTGCATTAAAACGGGGAGGGGCCCGTGCGGGCGTTCGGATGCCTTGTGGCAGGTGTGGGCCTGGCCCAAGCCGGCGACGTGGAGCTGCTTGCTGTACACGCGCAAAGGCGAGGCCATTCTGGGCGATGACGAGACGCTTCCCGTCCATCACACGGCGACCCTCACCCGTGCAGAGCCTTAGCAACACCGAAACAGAGATGCGCGATGATGCGCGTAGTGGGTAGTGCGAAGGAATGCAGGTGTGGGCGGGTGGTCCCAGAACAAGCCAAGATGGAGGATTCAGCTGCGCAGGAGTGTCTTGGATCAGGGAATCCACACGACTCCCAGGTCAAGGCAGTGAAGTAACCAACAGTACTATACCAGACAACACCAGCAAAAACCTGAAACTCGCACGGAGGAGCCATGTGCAGGCCACGGCACCGCTTGAATCAGATGCTGCAAAATCTGAGACATCCCTATCCAAGGAGATTGATGAGGAGCTCAAGCTGGCCGCAAGCCCGCAGGAGGCTGCAGAAGTCCTTATCCTGGCTGGCGCGCCTCTGCGGGAGCCAGTAGCCATGGGCTCGAACATCATCATGACACTTGGCCTCGTCTGGTCCAGTTGGGCACTAGTCACTTGCAAGAGCTTCAGGCCTAGCAGTTTTTTTTTCCGAACTGGGATGCTGAACGGTTCCAGGAACTCGGATGCAGAGCTGGCCGTAGCCAATCGAGATTTGCGACGAGGCTATTTCGGGCCGAGTTGGGACCACACCGATGACGATGCCACTTGGTTGTCCACCGTTACGAACCACTGGGGCAAAATGGCAGATGCTTTGAGGCGCTGAGATGCTGCCAATGTATATAATTAACAAAAGCTGCCTGGCACTCCGTCTCTTGCTTCTGCACATTGGCAATCACGATGACACCAACAGCCTTGGCCAGCCTCAGTCAGGCGGCTAGCAAAGCCCTTCCTGAAAAAGCGTGCGGGTTTTGTCGCAAGCTCCCACTCCCAGTGGCTTGTCTATTATCTCAGCAAAAAATATCCGAATCTATAATCCAGTCAGTTGCGGCAGTTCTGCTTCGAGTTCCCGCTGGAATGCAGGACGCGCTGCGCGAGCGGGCGGCAACCGCCCGCACTCTCCTGGCAGGGTGGGGGGCCCTTCAGCCCAAGCTCTGGAGCAGCTGCTTTGTCTCAGACCGTCGCATGTCTTATTGTGTGGCGAGGAAGTTTCCGTGCACTGGGACTGGGGTTTAATCGCTTCGCTGCATGCTAGCAGCTTCCTAGGTGCTCGCAGAAAGACATTGCAGTCAGACTAGTGGTACAAAGGTTTATACGTGGCAGATATTAATACCAGTACAGTGGCAAAGAAATATTCTGCTCCTGTGCAGACGCTCCACTGCGGAAGAACTGCGAGCAGCCATCGATGCAGTCGAGGCGCGATGTCATGCCGGTTCCAACTCCCGCGTTTTTCTGCTAGGTCAGGACAGCCTGGGTATGCTGGGGTTAGCCCAAGCTGGGGTCGTGTACACCCTACAAAGCCGTAAGGCAGGCCGAGCAGGTAACGAGGAAAGTCTATTTATCCTGTTTCCAGGAAGCATCGCACTGGATCCTTGATCCCGGGTCCTACAAAGAGCAGGCGGTCAGCGTTTTCGTCAAGTGAGGGCGTGGTGTCCACTGCAAATAATGCAAATACAAGTAGCTTCGTCTGGATGCGTCACAGAAACACGGAAGTTGCTCCGGTCGAGGCCGGCCCAGCCGCACGTTGAATAGCATCCGCACGACTGCCGCCGTCACTTGTTGCTCGGATATGCCGAGGGTGAGAGTAATTCACAGGAGACACGAACATTCTCGTTCTTTTCGAGAAGCCTGGAATTCAAGACATGCCACCCAGCCTAAATCAAGAACGTCGGTTGGCTGAGCAGCCCTGGTGTGGCAAGGCAATGAAGCCTGCAGTGAAACAGGCGCCACTTTACAAACCAGGGCTTCAATCGCAGAGTTAGTGATTTCCGCAGCAGTTTTGCCGCTGCAATGGCAGTGCCGCGGAAACGGCGTTGTAGCTCCTTGGAGCTGGGCGAGGCCGGTGAGATCCACGCCGAGCATTCTTTGCAGATCCGCCGCCCCTTTTTTACTCTGCCAGGCAGTCTCGAAGAGATTTCGCCGTGCCCATCAGCTGCTGCAAGCGGCCATTGAGCCCCCCCCTCCACGAGGGCAGGAGGAGGAAGGCTCTCAGATCGGTCGGGCTTCAGGCCTTAAGGATCCTTAAGGTTTCTGTCACTCGAACCACATCCGTATCGAGTTGCAGCCAGCCAAGAAATCAGACACGGAGTAATTCACTTTTGTACGTTTATCTTATGAGACATATGAGACGCATCATGGATTGAGCACTGCCGCAGATGTCTCCAACTAATCCATCCACGGTGTGGGAGCAGCAGCATGAGCACAAGCCGGGTGGCAACGGAGCTGTTGACACATGGCCCGTACAGATCCTCGTTCTGACAGGTGCGATGCTGGAGGTGCTACCTGCAAAATGGCCTGGCTGTGCTGCGCGGCTTCTGTCCCTGCGCGCGGCGTCCAGGAGATTTGGCTTCCTGACAGTGTCACGAGGGCGCTGCAAAAGTTGCCGCAGCCGATGCAAGGAAGAGCTCGTTTGACGATGTTTGCAATGGCTCGCGGCAGGACTCTAGCGCCCAGTGAGGACATTCCCCCCGGGACAATAGCAGGAGCTTTGATGCAGCATCTCTGCAACTATCTGGGGTGTTGTGTGCCCGTGGTCGAAGACATGCTCCAAGGCAGCCGCTTGCTCCATGCCCGACGCAGTCTCTTCGAATTCCGCCACCTGGCACTTTGCAGTGGGATATCCCCTACTCCAAGCGAGCAGCTTTTGCTTATGGCAAGGACCGCCTGAAACTAGACCAGATTTGTCAAAGGTTAGGTGCAGTGCCTCATGTGTGTTTGCGGATTCCCGCTGCTGGTGCACTGGCTCCATACTTGATCTGCCGCGAGGACATGCGAGATGGATGGCTAAGATCTCGACCTCGATACCTGGGATATGCTGAGTATGCAAGCTTCATGTCTGAGAATTGCGTCCAGGGGCCTGATGGTTACGGCTGCTGCTGTTGATGTAGTACAGAGAGATCGATACATGCGCATTTGTGTTGTTGTGGCTCGGCGCACGGTCTCTACACGGGGGCTAGGTTTCTGAAGTGTGTGTGTGTGTGTGTGTGTGCAAGATGAAGCCGCAAGGCACCTGCGTAGTGAAGCACCAAGAGAAGGCCAATAGTATCACTGTCCGAGGCTGGCTTTCCTCCGCAGTGCCAGATGCCGAGCTTCGGCCACCCTCGCAGAAGGAGGAGTGATAACCTGATATGTTGTAACCGCAAGACTGCAGACATGTCGAACATCAAGCAGCAGGCCCACATCTCGTCCCGGGCTGCAGGAGGCGGAGGCATCAGGGCTCGAACTCTTGCGACTCCTAGCAGCGCTGTGGCTCGGCATTTCCACTTTGCATAGCCCAGTGCAATGTCGCTAGGCGTACAGTCCTGTGCTGTCTTGCTTGCTGAATTCCTGTTGACACCGTTGGCTGCGTATGCCCTCCAGAGCTTCGAGACACCAGGGGAAATTCTATTCAACCTTGTTAGAATGCTTCCGAGTCTTGGAGCCAACAGCTGCGACGGGTGCTGCTCACGACAGAAACTGGAGTCGGAAAAAGTTGACATGGGAAAAAACCGCTGCAGCAGGCAAGCCGAAACACACAGAAGCCGAAAGGCTGCGAATCAAAAACACACCGAGAAACCCAAAGCCCACAAGACGCCAGAGTCACCACAGCAAAGAGCAAGTTGAGGCACCCAAGAATACATGGAAGCGGCCATAAGATAGGTCGGTTGACATAGTAGTTCTATGAACAGCATAGCCCTCAGAAGAGTCTACGGAACAAGAGGTTCGATGCTGATAGCGCCTTAGAAGTGACACTGCGGGAGCTACCTTCGTACTCGCATGCTCTCCGACTCGGCGTCGCTCCTCGATGACCCTTTGTGCTTTGCAGGCTCGAAAGCCTGCAGGGTCTTCCGACTCAGCTCGCACTTGTGCCGATTCGAAATCGAACTCAGTCCTCGGTCTCATTAAATTTGTTCTGCATGCGCCTTTGGTCAACCCCTATTTGTCGTGGCGAGCACCTGCGCATGAGACTAGTGGGCATGGAGCAGCTCTCAGCGCGGCAAGGCAACTCGATGCAGTTTCTACTCGCAAAATGCTGAATGTACTTGGAGTGCAGACTGCAGAACTGAAGGAAGATGCCAAAGAAGAAGCGTCGCGTGCCGCCGATCTCACCAGAGGAGGAGAAGTTGGCGGAGGACGCCTTGTTTGGACAAGGCAGTGGAGACGAGGCCGGGTTGGTTGGCGAGAGTCGTGGCAAAGCCTTGGAGATCTGCACTCTACACACGAAGGTCGTCGCCTCACGCTTCAGTGTGGAGGTGACCCGAAGGCCGTCGGTCGACTTATTCTGTTTTTCTGAGTGTCAAATCAGCAAGAGGGAGAGGGAGAGGGCGTCATATGTTTTCTGGGCTTGTTTGGGATGCAGTAAGTTGTTTTCTCTATCTTGTCTTTGTCTTTCCTGTAACTTGCACTGTGGATCGTAGACAGACGACCCTCACGCAACTTTCCATCCTTTCACTCCTTCTACTCCGGGGGCGTAGACAGACGCTCTTTTTCAGTCCGCAACTTTTAACCTACCTGTTTTTGCCTTTCGGGGTTCGTAGAGAGACGTCCCTCTTTCCGAAGAGCTTCATGTGCTTGTACTTGTTTAGGGACGTGTGTGTGTGTTTGTTGATGTTCGGGGACTTGTCCCGCTGGCACGTCCGTACAGCCGCGAGCCTCCCATCCTTTTCTGGCTTTCAGTTCGGCGGACCCCGGCGTAGCGCGGAAGCGCTAAAGCAAGCAAGGGAGAGGGAGAGGGAGACGGAGAGAAGTCATACCTTCTCCTTACACTTGCAAGCAAGAAAGAAAGAGAAAAAGAGTACCATGGAAGCTGCGGCGTGCAGCTCTGTTAAGCTTCTGCAGTGCAGCTGCGGCAACTGGAAGTGGCACAAGGAACACCAACTGGGACAGTACTGCAAGAAGCGTCCCGAAAACCGCAAGGCTGGGGCGGGAGAACGGGCCAAGCCAAACGCAAGGCCGAGTGGGTCCTGGAAGGCGTACGCGACAGGCTCAAAGGTCAAGGACCAGACGTGATGCAAATTGCGCAGCTGTGGAAGGAAAGAAGACACAACGAATCACCAGCAACTGTTACTAGTAGATGCCTTTCCAGTTCGCGGCATCTCACGGTTTTGACTGGGCATATAAGATAAGACCCTGGAACAGTTTCGAAGGTTTTCTGCAACTTTCTTGAAGTGCAGTGTACTTATGTCGTGTTATGACTATTTCGTTGAACCTGCACGGGTTCGCACACGTGTCTCAGGCAACTAGAATGCCTTCGGCCGGGAGAGTGGCTGAATGACGAAGTCATCAACTTCTACTACAAGTTGCTGCAGGCAGGGTGATCTCGCAACATTTCGGAATGCAGCGGTTACTACAGGGGCGTCGTGTGAAAGGGACCATGTAGAAGGAATGTGGAGTTTGAGCGTGAAGTCTGGACCTGGAACGATATTCCGAAAGGAACGGAGCAAAACAGTGGCATCATCGCCAAAGAGCTGGTTCACCAACTCGTTCTTCTGGCCCAAGCTCAGTGGCAACAACAAGGATTCATCGGATGCCGCAGTAAAGCTCAACAACATAGTTAAGTCAGAGCATTTGATGCTTTAGCCTGAATCTCCCTGGAGGAATACAACTACAAAGAAGTGAGGAGGTGGACAATAAAGGCAAAGGTGGACATCTTCGAAATGGATTACGTCATATTCCCGATGAACATTGCCGACACTCATTGGTCGATGGGGGCTATCGACATGAGGGAAAAAGGTTTTCGCTACTTCGACTCGATGTTCAGTGCCTGCATTGCATTGGCCGATTTGCTAGGATAAGGTGCGCTACCCCGCTGTGGCACCTCGCTGGCTATGTCGCCTGCTGAGGCAATCCGCCGTCCAACTTCGTGGCTTTCCTCCGCCGCTATCTGGCTGACGAGCACAAGGACTTGAAGCTTACGTTGTGTGTACTTTGGCACAGTTGTCACATCGCGCATCCGTCAGAGCATAGTGTAGCGACTTAAAGACCTTTCGTGCAAGCCTTTCCTACGAGGGGGTAGTTGTGGGATGTGGCAATCCATCAACATCGATGCACCCTTGCAGGCCAAGAAGAGCAAAGATCTCCAAGGTGCTGACAACGAGACACCTTTGCGCTCTGTTGCGCTGATTCCACCATGCTGCTTCTTGCAACACGATGCCTGTTGTGAAGCAATGCAGGGGTGGACGACTGGAAGCTTTTGATCCCTGAGCCTCCGGTGCCGCAACAGCGTAATGGGCTCCTTGGCGACTATCATGTCACTACAGTTTGTTGCAGGGGCTCGGGAGGGTTGGGAGCGGCGGACAGGCAGCAGCGCCGTTTAATGCCCCGGCAAAGCCAGGTACGACTGTGGCGTTTTCACCTGCTTCTTTGCAGACTGCTTGTCTGCCGGGAAGTCGTTGGGATTCGACCAGGCTTGTCACACTGCGTTGCCGTGCTGTGCTGGGGGCGTTTCAAGCCCGCGAGGAAGACATGCCGACCCTGCGGAAGAGGCCCATGGTCTCTTAAACTGCTTCCTTTCTAGGAAACCTACAGTACCCACCATGCCTGACAGGATCGCTGCGCGCATCATGAAGGCAGATGAGAAGTTCGACCCGATTCTGTAGGTTACCGGCCATCGGCGAAATAGGAACTTCCTCTGCTTGATCTTACAGCTTGAGATGCATCCTGTTCATTTAGGCCGTGCCCTGTGGATGTGTTGATGCGCAAGCTGGGATCACCTGCGTGCCGCAGATAAAACGAACTTTTTGCAGTTTGCACCAGCTTTCGCTCACCACGCTACAGCCCGGCTGGAATCTGCAAATCCTGGAAAGCAGGTGGATCCCGACGTATTGGCTGAAAAGCTGCAGCGCTTGGAGGCATGATTGCTTTCTCGTGACGTCCGCTCCGCTCAGTCCAGCATGCATTCGCATGAATATGTGAGGATGTGCAATGAGCCTATCATTGCAATTGCAGAGCCGATCTCATCTTCGCGTGCGCAGTTTCCGCGCACTAAGCACCATGCGAAGGATTGTAACCACCTACAGTTGCTCATGCAGCTAGCAGTGTCAACAACCCTCGGCAAGAGAGGGAATCCCCCGAAATTGGTTGACCAACAAGGATCGCAATCGTTGCATCCGAAAACTGTCGGGGACAGCTCGGATGCCTGACATCTGATGCAAGCTGCAGATCTCTCACATGCGGCTGGTCAGCCCTGTAGATGGCGGAGACTTTTTGGGACCTTCGTACAGCTTCGCAGGCACTGGTGCACAATGCTCCCGAGGTTGCAGGTGAAAGCCTCAATTTTCGCGACAGCACGGGCTGTCTGTCTGCAATGTTGCTAGTCCAGGCGAGTAGATGTCAAACTTGAAACGCTTCGTCGGCATGCAGTAGGTAGGTCACAGGGCTTGTTTAGCATGTGCTGGCTGTCGACACAGTTGCATATCACAGACGAGCTGTGCCAGCCCACTGCATTGTGCCTGAGGCTTGCGGAAGAAGGAAAAGAAGGTGCTTCGCAGGGAATCGGGTTGCTGCAGCCTGTCATCCCATGCCGACCGGGTAGACCAGGCCGAGGCGACTCAACTTCGGATCGAGCTTAGCAGTCTTCGCCTTGGCAACGCGGAGTCGTCGATAGCTCCTAGCTCGTCCGAAAGATCTCAGGCCAGCTCTTGGTGCCCAAGGATGGCTCTCAGAGGACAGAGCCCTTTTGGCGACTTCAAGAATTCCATTCTTGATAACGGCAGGGAACTCGCCAGCAGTCTCCAAAAAGTTTGCGAAGTGATGGATCGCTTCGGTCTCAGGGCCGGATCTGAGTCAGCCTGTCGAGGGTACGCGGAGAGGCTGCGACTTCTGCACCGAATGGGCTGAGGCATGTGCAAGCAGTCCAGGCACGTCCTTGCTTCGGCTCGGCTCGAACGGGATGAGGCGTAAGTGCGCTTCCGAGTCAGGAAGAAGACCGAAGGCAGTCCGGCGCCGAGCCCTGGCTGGAGTCCTGCGGCGAGTCCGAACGAGAGTCCGGCGGTTAGCCGCCGTGGAAGTCTCGGAAGCGAGGAGGCAGGGACTCGGCAGTGATCGGCAATGCAGCCGATGGGCAAGCATGGCTGCTGTGCAGGACCCCGCGAAAGCGAACCAAGCCATCCGTCAAAGCACGACCGGCCTGGGAATCAGGCGATACCTGCGTGACCCTCGGCGAGATGGGCATTCTGGTGCATCCCTTCGAGCCTTACGCACATGAGTGATGCGTCATGCAGCCGCAGTTTGGTGAGGTCTAGTTTCCTTTCACGCAGGCGGGAGAGCTTGGCAACAGTGAGCCTACATGAACCGACTTTGGCTTTTCGACAGAGTAGTTCTTCCATGTTGGGCTGTTCAATTCGAGCCGATGTAATTGAAGGAACTCCGAGCCGGCAACTTAGTCTATTCGAGCCTTTCGTGTGGCCCACTGCTTCTGGCAGGCTACTCTAGATTCAAGAGTACTGAGTAGAGTTCTGGTTCCCCCTCCAATATCGAGGCCGACGCAAGAGCCCTTCGTGCTCCAGGCCGGAGAACGACATGAGATAGTAGTCGCTACTTTGGGCTGCTGAAATGGGCGAAAACACACCGGAGAAGTGCATTGAGAGTCTTTGACATGCCATTCTCTGGTCGTGGCTCACGGTTCAGCAGCCAGAGGAGGCATGTGCCAGTCGAGTTTCTGCAAGAAGACTAGCAATGTGCTTGCACCATGCGCAGACCTCGGATCTTTGCCCGTGCGTCTTATATGATTGTACGATTGCACGCATTCTTTGTGCACAGAATTTAGCCTAGGATACTCCGGGTTTCTAGGGCAAGGTTCATGAGGGTCTGGCAAGATCTGGGACTGCCATGCACCTGATCCCGGCCAGCGGCTTCCAAGCGATAGCTGTGCTGTTGGGAGTCGTCGGCTGGCAATGCTTGGCCGCAGCCTCAAGTGTGGTAGCGGCGAACACGCGAAGTCTTCGCGCAGATGCTGAGCCAGAATCTCCCAGAGAGCTCTCGGCACAGAGTCCGGCAGCAGACAGAGTGCCGTTCTACCTCACTGCCCGACACAGCTATCCTTACCCCGCCTGGTCCGCATGGCACGGACATAAGCAGCTCCAGTCCGAGTCGCTCGCCGCATTGCATGATGTGGAGCAGAACCAGTCTACATGGATCCTGCCGCACAAGCTTAGGACCTCTGTAAGGAATCACGACAGCATCCTGCTGGAGGTGGAGGAACAGCAGTTCTTAGTCACTGTTCTGGGGCGATGGAGTCGATTCATTCAAGTCATGGACCTGTCCACGGGTCAGCAGTGGTCGAAGCGGACCCGTGCCTCAGACCCAGAAGGCGACCCACTTGACAACTTGAACCATGTTTACACGGTGCTTGTTGACAAGCTGGGTGGTGCTGGCAAGGAGGTGTGGCTCCCGTGCGGCTTTCGAGGCGAGATCCAAACCCTAAACCCCTTCAGTTCAACCCATAGGAGACTTACTGGAGAGGCTCCAACAGCTCTGAATCATTCCAGCCCTGGACGAGGCGACCAGGTCAACCGGGAGTATTCCATCAAGTATATGCGGATCTTGGATTTGGAGACCCTCGAACTGCGAACGGGCCCAAAGCTGCCCTTTGCCGGCGGAGCCTGCACTGCGGAGGCTCTGGAGATAATTCCGGATGAGCCGCCCATGATTTGCAGCTTCGGTGGAACGGATGGCCACCATAATTCAGGCATCTTCCAGCCATATGCTACGTGCTACGACCGCCTGCGTGAGCGATTCTGGTTCCCTTTCGGGAAGATGCCATACGGCATGGATCATGCTAGCATCGTGGTAACTCCAGCTGGGGCCTGTGGTGAGCAGAATCGGTCTGTGATCATTTTGAACTACCGCATAGTTCCTTATGGCAGCCAGCGTCCAGAAATGCTGGCTCACGATCTGCCAGAAGACGGGTGGACAGCAGAGGAGCTGTCTCAAATATCCATGGAGGATCCAGGAGAATGGTACATCTACCACAACGCTTCGTTCACGCCAGCTGATCCTTGCAATTCGCCTCGTGATGCGAGTGGGATGGCCACCGCCAATGGTGGCAGGTTGATGTTGAACTTCGGTGGCATATACTACACGCACGACAAAAACGGACACCCTGTCGGACACCGCTTCAGTGCCATCCGTAGTTTCGATATCTGCGACAAGAGCTGGACAATCGAGGGAGACCTCGGAATGGATACTTTCGCATTGCAAACAGCGGCCAGCCAGAAGCTTCAAATTGCAGTGACCTGCGGGGGCGAGTCGGTGGAGAGGTTCTTAAATCGGAACGGAAATCAGCCGTGGTGCATTGTTCACCGTCCACGACACGACCTTGTTTTGGCCAATCGTCATGGCGAAGCCGCCACCCACGGATTTCCTTCAGGGTTCGTGCCCGGCAAGGTGCAGGCTGCCAGCAAGTCAAGCATTCTCGCCCCTGTCCCGACCACGACCACTGCGACCACTACGACCACTACGACCACTACGACGACGACACCCGCGACACCCACTACACCCACGACCACGACCCCCACGACCTCGACGACAGCAGATGGCAACACCACGACCACGGAGGATGCAGGCGACCACGCAGACGATGGGAAGCTGCCGAGCTCGGCCATCGCTGGCACTGTCTCTTCCGCCGTGCTTGGACTCGCCGCGATTCAGCTTTTGCCTTTGCTCATGGGGTGAATGGCCCCACATCGCATGAAGTAGCTTGGCCCTGGTCTCAATCGGCCCAGCAGTGAGCTGCAACAGCTAAAATCGAAGGCCCAAAGGGCCCACAGTTACTGTCCTTCGCCGCTGAGGTTTGCCTCCCCCTGGTAATTAGGTTAGTAGGTGCAAGACTTGATGCTACTCCGACTGGCATTCTGCCACCAGTGCGCAATTAAGCTGATGACCCTGAGTATGTGAGCAGTGGTGTGCTGTGATCCGTGAAGGATCTAAGCATTGCTGGTCCAACAGCGGGTCCTGATCAGACAAGGGAAAAAAGCCGATCCGAGGGTGAGAACGTAACGTACCGGTTTCGCACATCTTCGCCGAACTGCGGGCTTCCATGGTTCAGTGGTGGAGGTGGACGACGCCGTTGGTCAGCTGCGAGAATGGGATGCTGGGTCCCTGATGAGTTGTGTCAGCAAGCATCCTGTGAACCAGTCAGGGCCGCATCTACTTTCGATCAAGACCTGTTGTTCGGAGACCCTGTGTTAGGGTGCGCCACACATAGGGGAAACTGAGCATCGAGCGAGGTATTTCCAGAGTCAACCTAGCCAAGTGTAGTGCTGAAGCTGCCGCTTGGACACGACTCCTGGCTGGCTTTCGTTGAGGCTGCAGATTCCTTCAATAGCCCTCGCCGTGCGGTGCGGATAGAAGTGCATCGGCTCAGCTTCGTGGCGAACCTTTGCATGCCGCAGGGCGAGGGCAGTTCTGAAGTTGTCGTGTGATGATCGGAGTGTGCGGAGTCAAGGCAAACTCCCTCCTGCGCCTGTCTCGGGACGCAAACACCCTGTCGCAAGCCACCGACCAAGTAGCTTGGCTGCACGATGCTGCACGAAGCATCCTAGCCACCAGAAGTGTCCTTGTTCAGATGGCTTCGATGATCCACACGGAGACGTTCGATGTGCGGCTACCCGGAGACGCAACGAGTTGCAAGAGTGAGCATATAGTTGCTGGCGGCTTTCCGTGCGCAGGTGGTCGAGGAACGCGTTCGGCAGACGGTGGAGGACCTGTCTGCAAGCCCAGTTGCTTTGAGTTGAGCCTGGAAAAACTGGAAATATCACTGCCGACATTCACATCTCGCTCTGTGTGCGGCAACACGTGGGTGTGATCAGCGAGTTTGAATATTCGCAGCTTGTATGCGGCTAAGATGCGTGCTGCTCCAGGACTCACAGGATGTGGTAGAGACCCTGAAAGACGTGGCGATAGGCAGGACAAGTGCTTCTTCTTTGCGGTGGGTGGAGCAGCAGCGACTTGGTGTTTGAGGGTCTATTTTGCCCTTGTGCCCTGAGCTTGTGCAGAGTTGGGCGGGAAACGGTCCTCCCATGGTCGTCCTTGCAGGCAAATCTCGGTCGCGCGTTCTGAGCTCAGCTATCCCACATTGAGAGATCCCGACATAAGGTAAAATAGATGATTAGACCTCCGAGACTCAGAGCAGGTTTGAGAATGTTCACATTTTATCATCTGATGCCTGGTCTCACCCTTTTGCTTGATGATGTCCCTCAGGTTCAGCGTGCAACGCTTCTGGTGGGCATTGCGGGAGCCCTCGGCTCAGCATGGCACACGCACACAGCAAATGGGTATCGAACGACTTGCAATTTGCATCGCAAACTTGTAATGGAACATGCTCCCATGACCGCACAGCGCCATTTCTTGGCACTCACATATTCTTGAAAGCTCCTTCGAAAATAACACCATGTCCAGCAGCAAGCGAGCATTGCTCCCATGGCAGGCGACTGCCGGCGCTCTGCCTGGCACTTGGTTGTCACGTTGCTAGCACATCCGAAGCTTTTCGACACTACAAGCCGAGAACTGGAAAACACTTGCCGTTTCAGGATGTTTCGGGGTTCACGATGTACAGTATAGACCCACCACATGACTTCCCCACGACTCGAGAGCTCATGTTCAGACCATGGCGGTGTCGTATGGGTGGACGCTGCATCAGAACCTCAAACTCTGCTCAGCGCAGCATGTCATCGACAGCAGTACGGCTCAGCGGTTGCACTTCCCAGCGGACCTTCGCAAAACCAAGAGATGACTGCCCGTGAAACTTGTGTTGAAATTCACTACTCAGCAAGGATTATCTAAGACTGATGTCACCACGTCCAGGTCCCAAACATTTGAAAAGAAAGTACTGCACGACCCCAATTGGCGGCAAAGGCCAAAACCCGAAACGAATGTTTGGTTCGCCACGGAGGTATTTCCCTGGTCATGTGTTTTTGTCATCTTTTGTCGATTCTCTGTCTGTCAAGGCATGTGACGTGACAGGAGCCTTACGCTCTGGAGTTGTTTGGGCTGACATGCCCAGGGCCGGCCTCCCGATACTCGGCAGCGTCGCTGTCGCTGCAGGGACGGCCAGTCTTACTGCCTCCCACTCAGCGACGTTTTCCGATGTAGGAGAATGGCATGTCTTGCTGATGCCGAGGAAACAGTTGTCAATGCAAGATATCGAAATGAGAGTTGTGCTACTGCCCCACTTCTGCAGGACCCGGTTAAGGCAATGTCTGAGTTAAGGCAATGTCTGAAACCGCGCAACGCAAAAAAAGAGCGACACAACTTGTGCCCACTGAGGCCAGCTAGCATTCCGTGGTTGAGCCAAGCTAGTCACTAGTCAAGCCGCACATGTCCGAAGGCTCTGACTGGCAAGATCGCACACGACCGCTTTGCACAGCGCGCTGCGGAGGTAGCTGAAGGCGAGAGTTGGTCAACTTCTTGAGATATTGTAAGTGTGCTGCTCGGCATGACATTGCAGGAGCATGCTTTGTTGTCCTGTTTCATGCGCTCTAGTTATGCAGCCCGCTCCGAGACTAGTGTGCTCCAGGGCTGGTGATGTCACATAATGTGGAGGCTGAATCCCACACATGCTTTTTCTGTTCGGGTACTGGAAATTGTAGTGCATATGACTTTGAGAAACCTTTTGAGGAATGAGAAAGGTTCGACTGCGCTCCACCATAATCCGTAGGGTTTCCTTCCGAAACTGAAGATAATTAAGGTAATGAACATGTTGAAGAAATGGCGGTGGCTGCGTGCATGAACAGGTGGCGGACAAGTTGCAAGGCGGAACAGCGTGTGATGTAGGGATCTTGTGACAGTCGCGACAATGTGCTAGCGATCGCTTTCACATGCTCTCCTCTTGGCGCACTCTGTACAAAATCAGCAAATTGTTTGACAACGGCGCCCAGCTTGCCAAAGGCAACTTGGGCACCCTGGGCGCAATGGTCTTGCGACTACTTGGGTCACTCATTTCATCCCGGCAGGCTCCTACTGTACAGCTTCAACTTACTGTCGGCATGCCGAAAATCTTGTTTAACTGCTTATTAGGTTTGTAGTGCGTCCGGCCTGCCTGTCAAAATTGATATGATCATCAGTTAGTCATTGAGCACAACCAACGGTTGAACAACTAATGTCTCTTCTGTACATTCATTGTCATGCTGATGACTTGCGTCACGTACGCTTGGGTTCCCCCAAGTGATGCCATGCATAATGCGACATTAGATAATTCTCGCACCAGTGTCAGGTGACTGACTGTCCCTTTTGATTCCAGCACATGTTTGATGCCAGCACATGTTTGTCGGGATCGTACTGCACGACTCTTGCTGCTCCATGCTGATTAGTTAGTTGGTTACTTAGTCTTTTTCGCTTCCTCCATTTACTGACTGTGCTGCGGGGGTTCACATATTGCAGCCCAGACCCTGACCATGTCGACCCGCAGCTGTATAGCTCATAAGCAGCATGCCCGAGCACGCCAAATCAGAGCTGCAACAAATACCACAGAAGCAGGACGAACGTGTCGTCTAATTCGACCATTATGGTCGGCTAAGTAATGTGGATGCTTTTCGAAGCATGCTCACGAACAGGAGCGGAACTATAGAGTGCCCACCCATCACACCCACCTAAAGTCTCAGTGTTACGCTGCCGCCGAAGAAGAAACAGGAGGCGAGTTCACACGGCGCCAGTAGTGCGCTTCCAAGCCTTCGGCCGTGCTCTGAGTTGCAAAGCTCGCACGAGTAAAGCAGCCAATCATGCATGAAGGCAGAGTGTAGCGGAGCGATTGATTTGCATGGTGCGGCTCCGAAGTACGTGTTTGCATGTTGCTCAGAAGATACGCTGTCGAGCGACGTGCCCGCACCATGTAAGGACCATGTCGGCACAGAACCAAAGGTTTCCGTTTGGCAGACTTACAGGCCGACGTGAGAGAAGGGAGAATCTCTTGGTTGAGAACTTTGATACCAATCAGCAGTCAGAAGACAAGCCGTGGCAGTTAGCGGCAACTCGAAACCTGGAAAGGGCAGCATCGTAGCAGCTATTGGCGGTGGAAAGCCGTGGTGCACAGAGTCAGCCAGTGGCAGGACTGGAGGAAGGGTTTGCTGCAAGCCGTGAGCTCAGAGCTCCCATCTTCAATGAAGCTGCTCAGAGAGCATCGTAGACAAGACTTTTAGCCCAACTTTCACTTCGTCCGTCATGCTATGCTTGGCATCGTCTCAGGAGCGGTTTCTGGTGGAGAACCAGGCACACAGCCAAAGCGCCCCAGGATTCGCAGCGTGCGAGCATAGTCCATTCGTTGCTGGGTGCAAATTGCATTCAACTAATGCAACGTTGAAGGTGCTCGCTTCATGAGTCAATGTTGCTTGTTCCAACAACGCATGGTGACTTACGAGCACAGCCGCCACACTGCCCCCACTGCGGAGGCTAAATGCCGTCTCTTTTTGCAAGCATGAGACGGATCCTGCACGGAGACCATGTTCACAGTAATTATCCAATGCCAAGTACTGGTTCAGTTTGAACTGCTTGCGCGGATAGTGGAAGCCTGCCTCCGCGAAAGATGCTTGAGCCAGCGACCGGCGAAGCATTTGCCGACCGTACATGCGAGAGCTCAAACTCCCAATGACTAAGGCAAGTACAAACATAGTCTCATCGAAAACTTGAGGCGCATCTCGGTCTTTGCAAGAGCACTCCTGACAGCCATAGTGCATGTCAATGTGGCATGCACGGGCATGTGAGTGAGCTGTGAGCAGGAGCGCAGGACCAGGAACTCGGCCGGAAGCCAAGTGTTGCCCAGTTTTCTTTCTGGGTGAAGACAGCCCCGGGCAACTACCGACAAGAAAAGAGTAGGTACCGGCAGCATACATAGAGAACTGACAGGCCAGTTGGCGGGCCGCGTTGGTCAGTGCCTCAGTAGCCTTTTTTCGGGAAGCCACCGTGCTAAAAAGTCGTTCTCCAGGACCTGGTATTCTGTGTAGGCTTGGATTGAATTGTCCGATTGCACATGATCTAAAATCGGCACCCCGTCGACTCAGCCCATGCAAGCACAAGGGAGGGCTGTTTTGGTCCATGCGTGCCAGCACTGGTCATTGCACAACAGCCTGTGTTGCATGCATGGACGCTGCGGGCTTTCCTGCACTGGGTTAGAGGTCCTACTTTGTGCATGCGAAGGCGTTTTCGTGTTCGTGAGCACAATGCACAAGGACCATAGGTTAAATGCTCTCAGTCGATCTAACTGTCTCGATGCCTTTCTTGGTGACTTATGTCGACGCTCGATTGTGTTGCCAAAAGGTCCAGGCTTTTGCTACAACCTTGGAAGATTCTCGCAAACATCCAACCGAACCGGCCGTAGACCACAGCTGTGGTTGCACAGGCGCGTCACGCCTCGGGTGCCCGATCCTGAGGAGCCCCCGCCCCCACGGCTCTGTATGTCGTATGCGCTTTGTCTTTGGGGAGGTGCCAACAGATTCGTTCACTGCAATCGCTTGCAGATGCTGAGGCCGAGAACCTTCGAGTCCGTGATTCGATCGGGCGAGAGCTCAAGGCTATTAGGCGAGGGACAACTGTTGCGCTATGCCGCACTTGGGGGAGGTGAGGTACTCGCGAGAATGCTGCAAACTTTAGGGTTTTCTGTTGTGCTCTGCCCTAACGAAGCTGGCTCTTATATATCTGACCTATCTGAAGGCCCAAAGCACGACTCCTTTAAGGAGAAAGTGCAACACGTGTTAGAGCAGGCGGGCTTGCAATCCGTCGTGTGAGTACGTTGGCCTGCTGGCTGCCGTGCACTGGTCTCGGACAAGTGCAGCCACAAATTCCGAGCTATTGCTGACAGGACAAGAGCATCCGACAAGAGGACGATGGCACGTTGCAAAAATGCTAAGCAGGACGGTCGCTGTCGCTGTGGCTTCACTTGCCAGGAGCTCGAGCGGGAGACGGACGGCATGCTCAAAAGGCGGTTGAACGAGGAAGCGATGCTGAGGGTTTGCGTTCAAGCACAGTATGGCGCACGTTGCCTGCTGCTCCCCACGAGGGAAAGGCTGAAGCCACAAGGCCAGCGGCGAAGGAATTGAATTCGCAAACCCGGAAGAGCCCTGAAGCTGCTAGCCAAATGTGCATGTAACTCTTTGGAAGGCGAATTTCAATCAATCCTGTTAAGTACCCATTCCGTGAGGACCTCTCCACATGTCTCGAACTACCCCTATTTGTAAACGCCGCAACCAGGGCGGTGTAGGTAGCTTTTGGCACTATTATTGCGGCGTTTTTTTTTGCTTCTGGCGGATCTCCACGCAGCGTGCTATCAAATTGCAGGAAAGCACGTATGGGGGTGACGTTGCGATGGGCATGACAGCATGAAGTGGCCTTGTGCCCCCGCCATAAGTCCTGATCAGTCGGCTGGCTGGATAAAGCGGGTCGGCACTTTTCAAGCACCCCCCCCAGTAAGCTTTGGGGGCTGTCTTGAGCCAATGCAACCGCATCCTGCTACGGGGCAACTTCAAAGCCCTCTCGCCCCACCATGTTTTGCTTTCCTGGTGTCGGCCGAGCAGGTTAGAATGTAGCAGGAGGAGGGCGCGTTCTGGACAGTGCACCTTGTTTTGAGTTGAATGCAGGAGCGGATGCGCAGGCCCTGACCTGAGAGAACAGACCAAAGACCAGGCTAGCCAAAAGCCCTGCAAGCATCGTTCATGAGTTCCGTCGTGTGCGCCTGCATTGAAACTTGCTTACCCCATGTCAGGCCGAGCTAATGCTGAATGCTGAATGCACGCGAATTCAAGTCATGCTCCCCGCGAGCTGAACCACTGAGGGCCAACTTCATGACCCGAACGCGGGCCAAGCCAAAGACATTCTCTGACGACGGAACCTGAGCATCCAGTGTCTCAAGGGTGGTCCTGTTTATGTCATCTATGTCTGAAGTGTAAGACGTCCAACGTGAGCCCTCCACACAGACTCCCCCGGAAGTCATCGCAAGGTGCCTCTGCTCGGTACCTCCGAAGCCGCGGTCTGCGCTGCGATGTTGGCCATGAGACTTGAATCTTGAAAATCCGACAGTTGCCAGGTTTCCTGGTACATGAAGCATGGCACCTCCACGGACGGTCATTAGCAGTGCAGGGCTGGAGCCTTAGACGACCAGCCCCTGAACAACACGATTGCTGGACAGACAAGCTATCAAGATAAAAACGACATGGCAGGCAAGTCTGGTTCTTCACTTCGTGACCCAATGTATGTTTATGAGAGGTGATGAGCACTGTGACACTGATAACTGCCCAGCTCCCAGGTGGGTTGGTCGCAAATGGTTCATGCCATTGATGACACGCCGTTCCGCAGAGTCTCACACCATGTTTCTGCATGGACAATCTCCCGGACGCGGTCAGTCTGTTGTCAACATTGAATTGGAGATAGTTGCCGAAGCTTTCAACTCACATGCCTGCTGTGTCATAGACACAGTTTCAGCAGTCCGTCCCAAAAAAACGCTTGCCACGACGAGTCTAGACCAGAGTGTGGAAGGTGATCTGGCGTCACTTGAAATTTGCCATTGCTTGCCAACTCCTGGAAGTATTGGGACGGGGGCGTGATGTTGTCTGATTTTGCCCCTCTCATGTCGCAATCACAGCGTACTTCTGTTCGCCGACAGTTTCTCGTCGTTTGATCCTTGTATTGCCTGGTGCAGAAGTTTGAGCGGTGCAACTCTCATGGTGCATGGAAGGTGATACTGCTCCATGCCTTTGACATAGCTGTTTCATGTCTCAGCTCTCGGCATGGCAAGGCTCTTTGGGACAAAGTTTCTGCTTACACTCTTGATGGCACCCACTACGTTGGAACTTGTCAAGTGCTCGCAGAAGAGAGTCGTCTTCCTAGGCCTAGCCATGGCTCTACGTGTCCGTGTAATCTCGCAGCAGCTGTGCCCACAGCCAGCGGCAAGCAAATCTCTTGAAGAGATCGTCTCAGCAGCTCTCGAAGATGCGGCAAAGTACACAGCGGATCTTGACGAGCTGAGAGCCAGCGGAAAGATGCCAGGCAGCACGTACTATGATTTCATGCAGGCTACAAATCACCTTCTGCTGGTCAATGCAAAGAGAGACTTGGTGCCACTGCTGCACGCTTCCGAGGAAGAAGGTCACTTGGCCCTTACTGACATGTGGGCTGCAAAGTGTGGATAGTCTTTTGCTGACTTTTTGTTAGCTTTGTTTTGTTCGTCATCAGCCTGTCATGTTGCAAGAGCAGCTGCACAACGAACACTGCCATCACAGCCATATGCCTGAACATTAAGATCTGTGTGGCATTGGATATCTTCTAATCCCTCCATTGATGCATGCTTGCGGTGCACATGATTATGTCGTGCAGTGGCCCGCCTGGTTGGTTTCTGTGCCCGGCCCCAGGCAGCGTGAAATCCATAAGGCGGTCTTAATGCCTCCCTGCGCCCCCTGCTGGATGGTGCAAGTGGTGGCCCTGTCACTCACTGTGCTGATGAATCTGTCTGCGCGTGTGCGTGTCCGGGATGGCGGGGGCGCCCATCCGCATGACAGCTGACACATTTAAGATGCGATCACGCTGCACAAATGCCGATGGAAACCGACAAATGACACGGCGCTTTATCTGTGCTTCACTTATAAGACTGGCAATCTACTCAGGCGGCCTGGCATTGACCAAAGTATTGCCCGGGCCGTGGGACGAAGCCCACAGCATATCAGAGAAGGCTGGGCTGCTGCAGGAAGTGCAGAAAGCCTTTGCACGGGGCAGCAACGTGCAGCAGATTGCAGCCTGGCAGCAGAAGTTTGGCAAACGTGGCCTCAGCAGCAACTTGGCCATACCACAGGTGGTAAATCGAGGGTCGGGCAGCCAGATCGTCACCCGTGTCGACACCCGGGTCATCGTTGCTGACCCGGACGATTCGGCCAGACTTTCACGCATACATGTGGAGAAGGACGGACAGTTTGAGGCTGCATTGATGTCAAGTGTGATATCCACAACAGACAACACGGAATGGAGAGCTCAACGGAAGCACTTGACGGAAGCATTCTTGCCTTTGTCTTCCTTGGCTCAGATCATGCCAGTGTCCTTCGCTCGAGCTGCCAGCTGTGCTGAAAGACTGATGCCTGCGGCCACAGGCGGCACGCCAGTAGACATGAGCGATTTCCTACTGCACGAGGCGCAAGCCCAGTTGCAGCTGGCTTTGCTCGGTTTGCCAGAGGATCTCATGAACAGCGTGAACGCTGAAATGCGTTCTGCGTTTCACGGAAACCCAGGCAGCAACAAGAAGAATGCGCTTGCAGACGCCATGTCAAAGATAATAGCAAGCCTCGAGAAGCAGGACCTGACACTTCCGAGCTCAGGGTGTCCAGTGAAAGGCCCGTTGTCGAAAGTTTTGCGCACAGCCGAGCTTACGCCTGCGAGCTTCTATGGCAACTTGCTGCTGATCCTATTTGCCGGACATGACACGACCGGACACACTATGACCTGGCTCTTGTTTGAACTTGCTCGCAACCCGCTCATTCAGAGTTCTGTGCAGGCTGAAGTTGACGGCTTCTTCAGAGGGCTGGATGGACGAGACCCCAACTACCAAGACCTCAGCCGACTTCCACTCTTGGATAGATGCATTACTGAAACTTTGCGGCTTTGGCCGGCGGTTGCCAATGGAACATTTCGCCGACTTCAGTTCGGAGATACAGTGAAAGGCCCAGACGGAAGGGAGGTGCATCTGCCCAAAGGAACACTGGTCAACATTGTGAATTGGTCGAGACACAGGAATCCGGAGGTTTGGGGGCAGGATGCCAATGACTTCAACCCATATCGAAACTTCGAAGCTTCTGAAGTAGCCCACGTAGGCTGCCCCATGGCTGCTGTGAACCCGGAATCGCCGCGATTTTCTCCCTTTGCACACAAGCCTCGCAGCTGTTTGGGACGAAACTTTGCACAAATGGAAATGCGAGTGATCATGCAGCTTGGTCTGCATGAACAAAAATTTCCTTGTTTAGTGGTGTGCTGCTGTTCGATGAGCCAGCTGTTTCCCCATCCTACAGGCTGAATCTGCTCCGGAGTTTCACGTTCAGCCTTGCGCCGCCCTACGATGCGCTCTATTCGTCTAAGATTAGCACGACGGATCTCAACACCTTTCATGGCGTAAACCGCTTCACCATGGGCCCGCTTGATCTGGAGCGCCAAGGTTGGGGCGAGCGGTTCATTTCCGGTAGCAGCGGGCACGGTCGGAAAAGATGTGTCCAGCATACAAAAGGTCCAAGGCTTCAACATCGGGCCACTTAACCACATCGCCCTGACAGGTAGCTGCGTGTGGGGCGAAAGGCCTCTCATCGGACTCAAGATGACCATCACTCACAGGCAGAATCCAGGCGGGCCTTGATGATTTGGGCATCGCTGGACGCATATGGACGCCTTGGAGGAAGCATCGTTTGCTTCGGCTGTGGTTTCGTGTATTGTTAGCCGCTTCGGAGCGACGTCATTCCATGGCCTGTTCTGCATGACTGTTGCTCTCGGCCTTGCTGACACTTGCCACATCCACGTATGTCCACGTCTATGCACTAAATCAGGCATATCTGTTCATGGTAGCTAGTGTTTCTTTCTTGAACATTTGCCTGAGCGAAGCCCATGAGTCTTTTTCCAAGAGGGCTTCACACAATTGAGCTTAAAGGGAGCGGATGTCCGAGAATCTGAGACTAATGTTGGTAAACATGTCGCAAGTGGATTTGTAGGTAATGGTCTGCGGCTTCGCTGCGGAAGGGAATCATGCATCTACGAAACTTAAGACGGGTGCCTGCTTGTCAGAAGCGCATCCATGCTTCCTTGCAGCCATGGGCAAGCACCCCGATTTCTACACGATCCTAGAGATCAGCAAGGAGCTCTTTTGCAAGGGTGAGTGTGTTGAGCGAACATCCGTCAGTATACTAGCGGGGAGCAGTATCTTGAGACGGTGCATTCTTTTTGTATAGGCACTCCTGCCGCAACCATGTGAAGCCCAAAGATTGTCATGACAGCCATCGTTGGAAGCAGATACTGTAGCATGCTCTCCGCGGCATGTGCGTCATGGGCATGAAATCTGTCCTCGAAATTGCTACAACTGCTGATCAAGTCGGATGCTGTCCTTGCAGGATGCAAGCGTAGAAGAGATTCGAAAGGCAGCCTGGCCAACACTCTTGAGCAATCTTGAGCATTAGTATCCCGACCACGAGACGAGGGGAATCCAAATCGAAGGCAAGATCTGAAGCGCATGTTTGGAGCCTTGTAGTCTTCAAGCTATTCAATTCTGCCTTTTTGTGGCTGCCACGCTCCCAAAGAGGTCTTGCTGAATTCCTATTAGGTCGGGGGACCCCCTGAGCTCCCAGTTGCGGGAGATGAGTGGCTTTATTGTTTGGAAAAGATGTGAATTTATGTAGACCTGTGCAAGACAGAGTCCAAGCCTTGCAGACGAGTTTTCAACTTCCTTCCCGATTTCGCCAACCGACATCGGAAGCATACCATGATACTCTGGCGGGTACATAGATCCTGAAGGACGAAGGCTTTCGGAGTGGTTTCATTGAGGCAGGCCACTGCATGATAGCCCTGTCGGCAATGCATAATGCATCCTACAGGAATCTCCTGGTTCAGAGCCTTCGGGCATAGATGGTATTCTGGCTTAGCAGCTTAGCAGCTGCTTCTTCGGGTTTTCACTTCTTTGAGAAGCTTCAGCACGGGTCAGACTTGCATGTGTTCGTTGACTTGGAAGGCATACTTGCGAGCAGCCTTGCGATGGCATCCAGACAAGAATCCGGAGGAGAAAGACTTCGCCGTACTTTGGCGCATCAGCTAATCGAAAGCGTGAGCTTCCGACATAATTTCATCCAATGTGAACATCCGCTTATAATCCCGCAGCATGATTGGCCACCCCCGCGAGCCACTGCCAGTTCTGGTTGCAAAGTGTTGAACGACTCAGCCTGCAGCGATCACCCGGGGACCAAGCTGAGGAGACAATGTTCAAAAGAGTGGCCCAGGCATACAAGGCGGCAGATTCCACGAGGTTAGCACGTGTACTTGTAACTACTCCATTACCGGGACGATAGGGCATCAGTTCACAGACCGCAATGAGAATGGAAGCGGTGGCTAGGCGCCACTTGTTTTGACTTGCAGTTTCCATCTCTGAGCAGGTGCTGAGCGATGACCTTCTGCGTTCTCGCTATAATACCTCTGGAGAGGGCGGTCTTGGACATGATTGGTGGCCTGATGATCCTGAAGCAAGAACCTTGTTCAGAAGTTATGAACAGCACAAAGGCACAAACCATCAGATCATGTTGTGTTTTGGCAATTTCTTAAGTTGCGGGTGGTTGCGGCTATATGGCAAGAATTCCCCATCGCCAGAGTCAGAGCCGTCATGCTCCGAAGAGGTCGGGACATGGCCTACCAATTCTTCATCCACCGCGTTCCTGGTAAATCCCTGATTGAAGGCTTCAGTGAGGCAAGCAAAACGTTTGGTAGGTCCCACGTCCCACAACCAGCCCATGTTGCGACGAGGCCAAGCTTCGAGAGATCTTCCCACACCTTTTCGGCTGGGAGCTGAGTCTGCAGGAGATCTGAATTCATCAATATTTTCTGTTGGCAGGACCTGGCCGAGTGATGAACAACACCAGGACACACCAGCGCAGCCCGTTGTGACACAAGCAAGTTCTGAGTGATCCGACAGCACCTGTACGTTCCGAGAACGAAAAACTGCTGTTCACCAAAACCAACTTTGAAGTATTCAAGTCTGAAACTCAACCTGACCTGAACCTCGCAACACCGGATACGTTCCCTGCAGTGTACCTGCGCAACGATCATGTGGTTTCATGCTTGAAGTTGACTTGTATAGAAATGGATGTGCGCATATACATATATAGTTACACATCCATACAGATATTGCTTGTCCAATCGCATGGTTCTACCGAGCATTTTCTGAGGCTTTGGACCGTGTAATTGCGTATTCGGAATATCAGGGCTCACGAATGCTCACGCTTTCTCGCTCCCGGTTTTCTCGTCCTGTCCTCACAGGTGCCACGTCGGAATGTGCTAGGGTTTGGGGTTTCGGAAGTGATGTCCGCGTAGCTCGACACAGTAGCTGCCGGATAAAAAGAAGGGAGGAGGTTCGAAGCTTTGAGGGCGCAAGGGCAAGAGCCACAGAATCCCGTATGAAATAACCGGACATATCATGATCGATGGTTTAGCTTCACCACCGGTTTCAGCACCACCCCTTTTCTGGTTCCCGGCAACATATCCATTGCAACCCCACTATATCGCTCGTAAATTCATGGCAAGTGCCGAAACCTCTCAAAGATCGTTATATACCATTCTGATAGAAAATGATTAAAGAAGCGAAAAAGATGATGAATAATTACCAAAATTAACTATAATTCAGAATAATCCTAAGATACGAGGCTTTACTAGATTTCATTATATTCATATAATTATCTATAATTCATTCATCTATAAGATATAAATATATTGGCGCTCAAGGAATATTTAATATCTTTCTCATCTTTTCTTTATAGTCCGCCGGATAAAAAATGATATTATATTGGGATATATATAAATAATAATTTATAAGATTATTTTAGATTTTTTATTTTTATATCTTATTTATTATTTTTTATTTTTATTTCGGATAATTTATTAAAGGAAAATTTAAAAATTATATAAAAATCATGAATATTAAAAATAAATAAATTCATTTATTAAATAAATAATATTTATAAATACAAATACTAATGGATATAATTTTTAGAAATTTATAATGAGAA